CCCCAAAACCCCAAAACCCCAAAACCCCAAAACCCCAAAACCCCAAAACCCCAAAACCCCGTTATAAGGAGTTATTAATGAACACAATAAATTAATTATTTCTTCTTACTATCTTTCTTAGATGAGTCATCTGAAGGCTTCACTAATTCTAGCTTCTTGCTGAAGATACTGCCTGATTCTGCAGGGCTTTGCTCTATTTTGTTTGAGATAGAGATTGTTTCAGTGACAAGATGCTCAAGGATCATGTCGCCTAGATCTATCCTTACTTGAGCTTCTTCGAAGTCGTAATTGAGCCAATCGAATTCATTTTCAATAACTTCTGTAGCGAGGAGAGTGGCAAGCTTTTTCTCACGGATTTCTGCAAAAAGTTCCTCATCAAAGACCTCACTAAAGATGAACTCTTGGCGAGGTAGAGTTCCTGCTTGCATGATAGACCACCTGAACATGTCATGCTTGATGATTTCGAACATTTTCTTAATGTCAATATCTTTTTGAATGGGGGTCTTTTGGAGCTTTCTCTGCTTCTTAGACCATGGCATAGGTTCCCCATCCTTGCCGTATGGCTTGAACTGAAGTAGCGATTCATTGATCGAGTCGAAGAGAGCTTTGTTGTGTATATGCTCACATTCCTTTAATAGCTTTGTCTCCTGAGGATTTTTTCTCGAGTCATAATTTTGTGAATTGTTTGAATTCGAATCAGATGAATTTGATTCTTCTGACTTCCGCTTTTTCTCAAGTTCTAGATAAACTTCAAGAGGAAGGATGGCAATCGAGTTCAGGTCTGTCTCGAAGTGATCATAGCACCCAATATCAGAATTTTGCAATTGATTTAGTCTTTTAATAGAGTCATGCCTGATTGCAGTGAATGTGTCTGTCAGGAATTTTGATTTTCATTTTGCATCAACTTCATCAGCAAGTTCGTCAACATATTTTTCAATAGAGAAGAGGTCTGTTGAAATGCCTGGTCTTCCGTAGAGGACTAATTTACCGCTGTCTGAGAACATCTTGTTGTCTGTCTTACCATTATCATTTTCGTTGGTATCATCCCATGATGATAGATCGATATCATCACTGCCAGAGTATTTGAGAAACTCTTTAAGGAGCTCTGCTTCCTTTTCTACAGACATATCGTTCAGGTAGATCATAGCTTGCTCAAGTTCTATTTTGTCCAGATCTGCTGTTAGTAAGAAGAGAGGGCGGGGAGGAAATAACTCAGCTTTTATCTCAGCAAGCATCGCTGAGTATATCAGATCAGCCAGCTTATTCGCACTTTCTTGGTGTGGATGGGTTTCTTTTTCTTTCATCTCCGAAAGAATGCTCACAGTTGCATACTTTGAGTCTGAGTTTGCAAGAGTGTCTTCTTTTGGGCTATTTTCAGAGTGATTTTCGGCCTTCTCAGGTGTTGTTTCTTTCCCTTCCAAGCTTTGAGACCCTGTGATATTCTTGGGATCTTTAGTTTCCTCTAGGTTATCATCAATCACAGGATCAAGGATGATGTCCTCTTTGTAGCTTCCACTACTCTTAGACACCTTGAGTGAGGAGTTTCTCTGGTCTGTCCGGATATCATCTTTAGAGACCTTCATCTTCTTCATGTGGAAGTCCACATCATCTTGAAGGCCGTACTGGTTGGCTTTTTCATCTTCTAAATTTTTGGTTTCTTTGATATCAGAATTCCTACTTTCTTTTGTCTTCTTGATTTTGGTCCCAACTTGTTTGATCAGGTTGTAGTCTGAAGGAGGTGTCGAGTCTTCTTTGGCTTCTGGAGGTGGCTTTTCAGGCTAAAATGTTAGAGCAAGGGGTTACTTCTTTCTCTTCTTCCTGCTGGTTCAGATTTGTAGAGGAATAGTTTTTCATGACATCATCCATGTCCATCTCATCAAATCCTTTAGAGAAGAAGTCGGGTGTGTTCAGAGGGCTTGGAGTCACAGTTGATTTTGGTTTGGATTTATCTTCATTCAAGTTTGACTCAATGTTACTTAACCTTTGGGCTGACTTTTTCCTGGATAAAGTATGTTGGGCTGTATTATCCTCTGCTTTCTTTGGCTCATCATTGTCACTAGAAGGGTCCTCTTTTCACTTGATTTCTAGGGATATTGGTTTGTTAGAGTCAAGAATCTCTTCTTTAGAGTCTTCTGAGCTATCACCTTCAGTTTTTTGAGGGCCAAGTACTACTTTTCCAGCATTATTGAAGCTGTTTTCATGGTCGTCTGAAGGAATGAGAGGCGTGTCAACACTAATGTTAGCTTCAGAATCAGATTTAATATCATTACTAAGATTCTTATTAGTTAGATCAATCTCTTTATTAATCTTTGTAGCGTCTTGTGCATCATTTAAATTAGAGGAATTTTGTGAATTATCATTTCTATCGTGACTCTGAGAGGACTGATTGAGGTCTGACTTAGTATACTCTGAGCTTGACATTTTCTGCATTTCCTCATACTTCTTCCTCTCACTATGGATGCCACTCCTGATGTTATCTCTGGGAGTAATCTTTTCAACCATAATTTGCTTCAAAAGCTGACCATTATTTTGAGCATCTTTGATGATATCCTCTGTTTTCTTAGTGGCTTCTTCGATGATTTTCTTCGTCTTGTTGATATCTTCTTTTTCTTTTATGACCCATTTCTCAAGTCTGATGGTTCTTTCCTTGCTAGTCCTGGGTGATATTTTCTTCTGGTTCAGTAAATTCTTAATTTCGTCCTTTTCTTCATCAGCCTTTTTGTTGATCACTTCTTCTCGGATGTGGAGCAACGAGGAGAAGTCAGAGGTCAGGATCAACTTCTTGATTCTTTTAGAGCTCAAGTCGAGGTGGCTTTCTTTGTCAAAAGGATCCTCATATGCCTTTGATGACTTCTTCTCTGAGAGGATTTTTAGATCCAGGATTGGCACAGCAGCTTTGTTGCTTTTATCACTCTCTGTGTTCTTTGGCTGAGGCTCTTCTTCAGGCTCACTATTCGCGTTCTCCTGGTTCTTGAGCTCTTCAAAATTATCCATGGAATGAATAACAGACATGTGGATAATCTTGTCCTTGGGAGAAGTGTCTTGGTCTTGGAAAATATTCTCAATATCTTCTGCCTTAGGAATCTGGATATCATATTGCCCTGTATCCTACGAAATTATTTAGGCGTCTTACCTCCTGATTCTCAGCAGGACTGGCCACCTTGGGGTCCCCCTTGGTTGTAGCCTCGTCTGGGACAGGCTCAGTCTTGGTAGTATCTTTAGTCTCCTTCTTTTGCTTTATGTTGAGCTTCTGGGTATTCTTTTCCTTTGTTGAAGATGGAGCGGAAAAGTAATTGTCTGCCTGAATAATCTTTTTCTTGAGGGCTGGTTGATACTTCTTAGCTATGTTTTCATACAATGAGCATTGCTTTCTATGAATGTCAAATGGAATACTTACGCATCTCCTTCCTTATCCTCGGATAGGAGATTATACTTGAGATGGCCCTTAAATTGTTTGTCAATTTTTGTATCGAGAGACTGGTTATTTTTATGTTTAAAAATATCTTCAAATAGTTTCTTCTCGTCTTGGTAGAGTCTTGACTTGTTGTAAGACCTTCTATGTCTCTTTGAGCTCTCTGTTCTTCGAGAGCTATGCTTATCTGACTTGCTGTAGCCATCATTTATGAAGAGAGACCCTTCATCCTTGACCATAGTGGATTCGTCATGAGGTTTAGCTCTCTTCTTTTTAAATATAACTGTGCAGGACTTTTAGGTTCTCTTGGATTTTCAAGTGTTTCTCTAGATCCATGTTCTTGAGGAGTTTATTTCTCTTTAGTCTTCTTTTGTTGCTGCTTTTTGATAAATTTCCTGATCTCTATCTTCCTTGGGTCCTTCTTGCTGTCAGTATTAATCTCTTGCTTCTTGATTCTTTGGATATTCTTGGTGTTCTTGGACCTCTTTATCTTCAGCTTTGGACCGGTTGCAGGAGGCTCACTAGAAAGAGGGTCGTTCATGGAGCTAAAAAGGCTCTTGTAATGTTTCTTCTTGCCCTTATTCTCTTGTCTGATTTCTTGCTCGATTTCAGCTTTCATCTTCTTGAACTCGCACACGAGGGATTTCTTGCGTAACTTCTTTTCCTTATGGTTCTTGAGCTGGGTGTGGGCTCTGATCTTGAGTTTATTGATAGTTTCATGATTCTTTTTGTTCTTAATCTTGATCTTCTTCTTGAGTTCATACTTCTTCCTATTAGTCTTTCGCACATCTTTGTTGAGGTTGTCCAGCTGTTCCTTCTTGATCATGTTGTCTTCTTCTTTGATGATCTGTTCTAGAACTCTGATGGTCTCGATGTCTTTCTTCTTATTTTAAACTTTCACGGATTAACTTGTTGATCTTTGTGTGGGGAGAGATTACTGACCTCTTGTATTTCTCAGCACTTGAAGTGTTCTCTTTAGGGTATTTGGATTGCTCAGGGTGCAGTGTTTTATCACAACGCTCTTCTGACTTGTTGTTCGAGGTTTTACGCCTGGTCTGGCGCCCATGGCATGACTTGTGCCTCCGTGCCTTCCTTGAAGTGTCCTTGGACCTTCTTTTGGTCTTTGGTCGAGTTTTTGAAGTGGCTTCAGAGGAGTCGCTAAGGGGGTTCACAAATTTTCCAGTTTCTTTGAATTTCTCTTTAGTAGCTATTTTCTTGAGTTTTTCAAAATCTATTGTATCTGAATGGCTGAGTTCGTTCTGTGATGATATTATTTTTGAGGCATTGAGTTGGATCTTTTCTGTCTCGTTGAAAATGATTGATGGGGCGAAAGCATGATCTTTTAACTCTTCTTTAGACTTCTTAGAGTATTTCGACATCACTAATTTCCCTCCTCGACTGGAGCCAAAGCGGAAAGAGGTCTGGTTTGAGGCCACAAATCCTTCTGGACGGTCGAAGGTCGGGCTGAAAGGCTCAATTACTCTATTGGAATTCATGGATTTATCACAGAGAGCTGAGGTTCCTCTCTTTTTGTTCTTGCCAGAAGGTCTGGTCTCGAGGATATCAGCAGGTCTAACCGTCCGAGATGGGACTGGTGCTACTCCTTTAGTCACAACCTCATTGATAGAGTGGGACTTTTTGTGCACAGGTGTGTTGTTGAATTCCTTCCTGCGGATAGAGGCTTTGTGGAAGTGATTACAGATGTGCTGGACTTTATAGAAGTTAATCCTGTTTTCAAGCCTTCTCTGGTTATTACTGTGGAAAGGTCATGTCTAAGACTTACTTTACAGACTTCGATCTGGATATTTTGTTGTATTGGTTCCTCTTAGTGTTATGTGTTCTTCTCTTTTTGTTCTTTTTGCTTTTTGATCGTCCTTTCTTCGAGGTGTTTGCTGAGCTATTGTATGGGACTTTTGAGGTGGAGGATCTATACAAATTTGAGCTTGATTAACGGTTTGGGCATAAATTTAAATTTAATTTTGAGGAAAATATTGCAAACTGATTTAAAATGAGTGCATAGGTCTATTATAGAGGTTGCATGTCTATAATTTCACTCTTAGCTCTAAGTAACCGAAATATGAAACTTTTATAGTAGAGAATAAGGCATTTTTGGAAAAGGTTAAATAGACAAGTATGCTAATCAGGGGCTCCAGAATGCTAAGTTTCTCTAATCGGGACTTCTTTTGGGAGGTCCAGTTCCTTTCACATTAAAATGAATAATAAGAATGTATATCCTTGAGAGAGTTGTTATCAGTCTTTCTGTTAGCTATAATTTGGTCTGCAATGTTCATTACTCTGGCATAAAGTGGTCAAATCTGAATAATATTTTGAATTTGAATGTAAATGGGAAATAATAGACCGATGTAGGTTGATTTTAAACTTCATCATGGTTTCTAAGATATATTGCTGGCTCGAGGGTGGAGAAGTCTTAGGCAAGATATAGATTTAATTTAGGCTGAGTGCATACTGGCCTAGAGGAAAGGAACATCACTAAGCTTGTTGCTGTATGTGAAAGTAGCTCTCTAGGCCGATTTTCCCTCTTTTTCCAGGTAATAGGAGAAATGGGAATATCTGAATTATTTCTATGGGTTTAGAATTGGAGATTTTCTGAGATAAATTATAAATCTCGTTGTTTTGAAGCTGGTTGTGCCAAGAACTTACTTCTTATAATCCTTGTTTATGTAGAGAACAGGGGATGCCAGCTCCCTCGCATACACATTAGGATTCTCAATAGCTGTTTGAAGGTTATTCTGGATGACAGGGGTGAAGCTAGCTTCCAAATTTATCCTCAAGCAGGTGGATTTGGAAGCATTTGGGTAGACTTTACCCATATTTACTTTCAAATTGGCTTTCTGGCTTTGCTTCATAATAAATATATTATCAGCATTTTAAATTATTTAAGGGGTTTTGGGGTTTTGGGGTTTTGGGGTTTTGGGGTTTTGGGG